CCGGTGAGCTCAGGGCCTTCCTGTGCCGTCTGCCACTGCCCACCGCTGCGGGTGACCCGTGTGCCGACTGCCCAGTCCTGCTCACCCAGCTCTCGTCGTTAAGGGGTGCACACATTTAAGCGTGCTTTTTGCATCCATTCTGATTCCCTCCTCATCCTTCAGGGTAGGAATGAAAACAGTCCACCAAGGATTCCTGGGACACACATCCCTAGTAGATCAAGAGAGACGTCAAGTAGAAGACGTCATGGACTTGTTCAAGTCCAAGAGACTCTGTGTGGAGGAGAATGGTGGCAACCGTTTCTACTTTGTTGAACTTCTACTTTATTAATCTGATGACTTTATTTAAAAACTGACTTTTTTTTTTGGTGAGGAAGATTCACTCTGAGCTAGCATCCGTGCCAGTCTTCCTCTGTTTTGTCATGGTTGATGAGTGGAGTAGGTCCATGCCCGGGATCTGAGCCTGGGAAGCTGGGCTGCCAGAGAGGAGTGAACAGAACTTTAACCACCCGGCCATGGGGCCAGCTCCTAACAAGCAACATTCCTTTAAATATTCACATACTTCTTGTCCCAATAAATCAAAAATATAGTTCCCTCAACTTTCATACATTGATTATAAACTTAAACATATCTAAATGGTAAATTAAAATCACAAATCAAGTATATTAGATTTTCTCAGTACGTCTCTGTAGCAGGCTGAATTATGGTCACCCGGAGATATCAGGTCCTACTTCCCAGAACCTGTAAATGTCACCTGATAAGGAGAAAGGGCTTTGCCGTTGTGGATAAGGAGCTCATGTGGGAGGATTATCCTGGATTACCGGGCTGGGACTTAGACACAGTCACCCGTGTCTAAGACAAGAATCATTTTTCTAGGATTGGAGCGACTGTGCCCTCCCAAGTAGAAGACATTTTCAGATCAGCTGTGTTTGTTGATGCCTCAACTCAGTTGTACGGACGAGGCGATTCAAGCCTGAGCCACTGTTTACAGGCTGAGGTCCTTCTGTGATAAAGCTCCCTGGTTTTGTCATAGGATTTTAATTGCCTTTCCTATTGACTTCATTTTTTTGTGACTTGGTGTCTTGAAGTTCATTTGGCCTGTGTATGGTGGCATAATCTGTAGGATAATTACGGGTGTCTTACGGGAGTTCACTACCCCAATAAGGAAAATCTAGCAGATTCCTTTCCTCGGATGGGCTGTGAGCTCTCTTCTGAACTGTTTTGAACGCCTTGTTGAGATTGCTTCTGAGCTGATTGCTATACACACCTCCTTGCTCCCAGCTCTTTCTACCTGGTGGTTAGGTGAGACCAGCAGCAGCGATGGCTCTTCCTGTCCCTGACACAACTCCAGGACTCCCTGGAAAGTGTGCTCACCCACAGTTTTATTCCCATGGTCCTGATTACTCTTCTACGAAGTCACTCAAGATTGAAACATTTCCTCCCATGGACATGTGCCACATGAAAGGGGGTGGCATTGGGTCCATCCCTTGAGGCCTTTCTCCCACTGTGTCTCCTTCGGGTGTTGACTCTGTGTTTGTGCCTACGGCTTCATGGATTGCAGATGACTGTTGCTCCAGGTGCTATGCAGGAAGAAGAGTGAAAACGGGCCACTGCCCCCGTGCTACCCTTCCATTATGAAGGCAGAAGTTTTCCCAAAATGCCCTCCCCAACAAAGCAGACTTCCATGCACCTCTCATTGACCAAGAGCATGTCATATGACCTCCTGGCTTCCAAGGAGACTGGGCACAGGTGCCTGGAGATCCCAGTCATTACTGGAGTGGGAGAGCAAAGGAGACAGGCTGGGAAGCGTGACTGGTTAGCCAGCCCCTGCCACCACGCACTTCCCTCTATCCCCAGACCTCCCCCCTCTGCTTCACCATTGACGTGGCTAACATTGCCCACCTTAGCGCTGGAGAATCGCCCCATCCAGAGGCCTGTTTCTCAGTTTGTGGTGCATGGCCTTTCTGTGCCAGCTTCACTGGGGACGCTTGTTAAAAGTATCCTGTGCTCCAAACCTGCTGCATCTGGCCACTGTCAAGGTCAAAGGTCCATCAGCCCCCGTCCTGAAGGTATGGCGGGGGAGCTGGGGGGTCTCATGTGATTCTCACGTACACTCAACTTGGAGAGTCGGTGAACCAGAGTCTTGTGTCCCAATTCCAAACTCCTGGGAGGGGCTCCTGATTGGCCTGTTTGGGTCTGGCACTTGCAGCCCTCCATCCATGTAGTTGAGGGGGCCGCTGGAAGGCAGGTGGGCTCGGGGCCCATGGCTGCCCTCCCACCAGCTACGTTGGGAGCAGAATCTCTAAGGAGCATGGCCCGGGCAAGAAAAGCAAATCCACCAGGTTCTCCACTGCAGGGCTTACAGTTCCCAGCACACAACCTCTCACCTCACAGGTACCCTTGGTGACCCCGGCGTTTGGCCCACTGGCAGGTCTCTCCTTGTGCACCTCAGGCACTGCCTAGGACCAGGTGCCCTGCCTCCCCCTCTTCTGGTTGGGCCCAGCGTGCCATGGAGACCACCGCATTTTCCTTCCTTCCCAACCATGCCCTGCACAGTCCTGGCCTCACTCACGTCGCTCAACGCTGAAGGCTGCAGGGCTCCTGGTTGGTGCATCACAATTCAGCCCACGTAGCAAGTTCAGAATGTTACAGCCACAAATCGGATGTGAAGAAATGTAATATTCTTTGTTTTTCTGTAATTAAACTCAGTTTAGTCCCATTTGTAGACTTGATTTTTACCGATAGCCTAAGGCTCTTAATCCTTCCATGTCAAGGTAACTCCTTAATTCTAGTTCAAAATTTTGCCCTTTTCGTAAGATGCTGTCAAACTCAGAGTTCTCCCTTTATCTCCCCAGCAGTGGCCTCAGGGTGCAGGAGGCTGAGGAGTACCCTGGTTCCTCTTGCAATTCTCTGGGCTTTGGGGACTCGTGGCCGCACCCAGGAGGCCTCACCGTCCTGCCCAGCCTTTGACACAGGGGGCTGGCAGCTGCTGCTGCCTCTGGTCTCTGCCGTGGTGTGATCAAGTATGAAGCCCACACTGTGTCCTCCTGCTCCGCTCCTAGACTCCTTGTGACTCACCAACTCCTACAGCCCCTCCACACCCCTACTTGGGATTTCAAAACTCCCAGTTGCCTCTCCTCATGATTCTGCAGTAAGCAGGACTCTGCAAGGCTGGGCTGGGGCCTGTCTGCCTGCCCCCCTCCCTCAGGCATTGCTGAGCCCTGATGCAAGAGCCATGTTGCTCCAGCGCCATCCAGGATCAAAGCTTTTCCACGAGACTGGCTGCTCTCTCAGGTTCTGCCTTGGAAAGTGCTATCAGGGGTCCCATGAACACACCGAGGGTCGTGACCACACTCCCCCTGAGGCTTGAGGCTTGACGGCAGCAGGAACAGGTTTCACTGCCCATGTCTTGTTCTTATTCCACACCCGCCTTATTCTCTCTGAATCTCTCCTCTTGCTATGGCTAAATCTTCATTTCCTTTTTGGGTGGGAAGACAGATGTATCAGCTGGCATTTTCCACTCTTCTGTGGCGGTCGATGCAAGCTCGGCACTCAGTCCACCAAACTGGGTTCTTGGTCAGTAAAGCCCAGCTCGTAGAAGTCCATGGAGCCCTTTGCTTCTCTCAGCCAAGGCTGATTCTTCAAATAAAAAGCCCTTTGGCTTTCAGGGTACAGTGTCTACTCTGCGTTTGAGAAGTCCGGTCATTATTTTCATAGACTTCCCTGTTTCAGGCTGATCTGCTCTCCCCTGATAGCAGCTCACATGGAAAGTATTTTTGGTGCTTGAAACGTCTGGAGACGGATAGAACAAGGGGGAACACGTGATTGACACAAACCCTCTCGCCACCTCGCCCTTAGTTGGGCCGTCCGTGTTTAGCGTGTTATTCTTGTCTTTCCAACAGCCTAGAAGCTTCCTGACGTCAGATCGTGTGTTTTCAATCCCCCCCCAACCCCTGCCACTCCACAGGTGTCCGTTCCATACTCTATTCAGTGCCATGTTTTCCCCATTTTTCTTTTTTTGGTTTTTGCTGGTGATTTCATGTTTAAAATGACCCCTGATCAGAGGGCTGAAGTGCTGTCTGCGTCCCAAGCACAGCAAGGTCGGGATGTTCCTCACACAGGAAACACGTGTTGGGTGAGCTTCATTCGGGCACGAGCCTCAGTGACGTTGGCCACGAGTTCAGTGTGAGTGAATTAACAACGTGTATTACATGAGAAGCCTTTAAAGAGAAAGGTACACAAAACAAGGTTATGTACTGGGTGGTCAATGGAAATGTTGTGACCAGAGAGGCAGGAACCTGACCCCGTATTTCCTCTAGGAGCAAACGCTCAGTGTTTGTTAATTCAGGGTTCCCGAGACTTTATAGAGTGCAACTACTGCAAATAACAGGGGTCAACCATCTGTGCGCAGTCGTGGGACGATGGTCCTTTACCTCCATCCTCATCGTCTTCGTGACGCTGGTGTACTGATGGGCACCAAATAATGGACCAGGCAGAGAACTACATTTAGACACGGACACAGCTGCATACGAACCAGGTTCTATTTCTGGGCAAGTAACAATCTCTTTGAGTCTCAGTTTTCTTATCTCTAAAATGAAAAACTTTCAAATTTGTTTGGAAGGTTAAAACAAGATAATTTATAAGCCTGGCGTAGAGGAGACTTTTAATCAATGGTAGGCATCTCTGTAATTAGCCATCAACAAACAGTTGATTTTCAAGACAGACCTCACCAGTGTTTGAGTAGAAGCAGGTGACTCCCTGAGAGCCCAACGCTCACATCATCTGTGAGGTTGGGTATGTAGCATAGTGATTGCATTTGTCACTTAACATCACATCTCTGAGTTCATGGGACGGGGTTATCTTTAGGACTCTACCAGAGCAAGATAGAGGAATTTAGCCCAAATCAGTTTATCATAATTGATACCATGCCAGCTTGGACATCATTCGATGCACCAAGAAAAATACAAGTCTGAGGCTGCCTCTCTGTTTTTTTTTCCTTCCAGAAGAAACGATTTTAACTACACCCATCAGAAGATACGAACCAGTGAAGCAGCATTTTATCTAGCATCAGTGACTGCATGCTGTGAGAATTTTGTTGCTGTGGAAACCATGTTTGTGATACTGAAACTGAATCATGACTTGCTCTATCAGGTTTTGATGATCACAGAGAAATTACGGTTTTTACTGAGCAAACCCTTGTATATCAATAAAGGTAGGTTAAGACTCATTTAAATAAAAGTTTTCAAGAAGACCTAATTTCACAATAACAGTGAATACCACCTGTTAATACTTTTTTTTTCATTTTGGTAAAACTGAATTGGATGTTTTACGTAACGTGAGCTTACATTACACTTTATACAAATACTATCTCCCAGGTCTGGTCCTGATTTCCAGACTGTAGGTCCAATACCCAGGCAGCTGTCTGACAATCCTGGCACAGCCATCCTCCCCTCCTCTTTGCTGTCTTAGCAATGGTGTTACATTCAGCCTGTCACGGCCTGGGAATCAGCCCTCATTTCTTTCTTTCCTTCAGATCCAATTCTTTGGGACATCCTGTCACCTCTACCTTCAAAATACGTCCCCAGTCCAAGCACATCTCGCCCGCTACGGCTACAAGGCTGGTCCAGGGAACTGTTGTCTCTCACCTGAGCTGCCCCAGCTGCCTCCTGACTGGTAGGCCTGCCTTCGTGCTCTCTCCACCCTGGGCTCGCTCCTTCCTTCCTCAAAGTCAGACAGAGTGTTCTTTTTACAGACCCTCTCACCCCGCTACACACACACACTTAAAACCCTCCTAACATCTCCATTGTAATTCAAATAGGATCTAAACCCTGTTAGGGCCCAGGGCTTACCGGAGCTGGTTCCATCGCCATCTTGGACCTAATGCTGTACCCCTCTCCTGCCACTTACTACACCGGGCCTCCTCTTTGCCTCTGGAAAATGCAAAATTTGTTCTTATCTCACAGCCTCTTCTCTTTGCCATTTCCTCCAGCTGCAAAGGTTTCCCAAAACCTTGACCTGCTCTGCCTTTCTTCCTCATCATCCAGCACTTGGAGAAAACATCACCACTTCAGACAGTCCTTCCCTGACGGGCCAGCTGGAGTAGCTGCCCCCTGCAAGACACCTCTGCCCCGTTCTCCTGGTGTTTGTTTTCGGGGAATACCCCTCTCTGACTCCCCTCACCCCAACCCTGAGCCCGTCTTCCTCCTCTCCCTCTTTTCCTACTTGTTTGTTGGCTGCTTGCCCCAACCCCAGCATAAATGTCATTAAGATGAAGACTTCTCTCTTCCCCGCTTTAATTCCTGCGCTGGAATAGTGCTGGCTCATTGTAGGCGCTCAGCTAACCAACACCATTTACTGATTGGCTTCTGTGTGCCGGGCACTGTGGCAGCTTTGTCACCGGTCTGTTCCCTAAGCAGCTCGAAGGAAGTCTGAAGGTGCTTAACGCTCCCTCAAGACTGTTTTCCAGAGCTCTGCTGGGAGGAGATGCCAGCCCCGACTGGCCTGAGCCAGCCCCAGCCCCACTGCAAGGGCAGTGCCTGCGCAGACGACCTGAAGATGACCAGAAAATGCCCTTTTCCTCATCTTAACACTGAAACCTCCGCCCCAGGAGGAGCCTAGGCCTCGTTAGCATAACATGCGATGTATGTGAGAGCATGTTTCAGACGCCTCCTGCACCAGGTTGTACCACCTCTGTGTGATGACAAAACTTCCCTTTCAAATACTCATTCCCCACCCGAAATAAAGGACCCGCCTCCTTCTGTTCCGGGAGCCATGACTGTGGATAGAATTCTGTGTCGTCTCCTAATTTGCTGCAAATGTGCTCTGCTTTGTGTGATGACTGCTGCTGGTGGAGCGTCTGACTTATAACTCACTGGGGAGCAAACTCATTTTGGTTACAAACTGGCCTCCATTTTTCAAAACAGGCCCTCAAAGGCTCCAACATGGAGAAGCCGAGGCACAGGAGGCCACGGGACAGCGCTCGTTGGTGGGGGCCTAGGCTGAACCCCTGGGGTCTGTCTGATTTCAAAACCCGTGCTCTCTGGTTCCACGTTGCTGTGGTCCACTGCGTTTTCAGGCCCCACCTCTGTGACTGAGCATCCTCGTGCTTCTCTTTCTTGTTTGGTTTCATCAAACGGCTGCCTTCCTGCAGCTTCTGGTTTCTGGTGTCACTTTTGCGGAGAGTGATATTGATAAATTTGCTAACAGTTTGGATTATTTTCCTTCATAGATATGACATAATTTTTATTTAAAGATTGGCTCTGAGCTAACACCTGTTGCCAATCTTTTCTTTTTCTTCTTCTCCCCAAAGCACCCCAGTACCTAGTTGTATATTCTAGTTGTAGGTCCCTCTGGTTGTGGCATGTGGGAAGCCGCCTCAGCGTGGCCTGACGAGCGGTACCATGTCCGTGCCCAGGATCCAAACTGCGAAACCCTCGGCCAGCGAAGTGGAGTGGGAACTCAATCACTTGGCCACGGGGAGGCCCCAAGACATATTTTCAATGAAACACAATAGTACTGACTTAGTGGAATCATGGGAATGAGTTTTTCTGAGACAACTGTGGCTACAGACAACAATATTTGCTAGTTTCCCAGGTGACTTTTCTTGCGGCTGGCTCTGTTACAGTAATTGAACCCACTTGTATCTGTGTTTCCCCCTTTCTCCACTTGGTTTTCATTTTCTATTTCCATTTGTATAGAACATCAATTTACAGACTTCAGATCCTTTTTAAAAGTGGGCGTGGGGAGTGAGGGAGTTGGAAGATAAGCCAACTGTAAATGAACACTCGCCTTTGGAACTACCCTTGCGCTCGAGTGACGTGCTCCTGAGCGCCTTACAGACAGGTGACCAGGTGACTGGCGTGAGGGGTCATGGGGAGAGGGAGCCGGCCTGACCGAACTGTGGCAGATACTCCAGACTAGGGCCTCAGTACAAGCTGCGTTTTGATATCTCTACTTGGGCGGTGGGGGCAAATCCCAACGCCACTCCTGGGCGAGAATCACTGGAGAGCAGAGGGCAACGGGCAGATTTCTGTCCACAGACCACCCCCCACCCGCCTTGCCTTCAAAGTCCACAAACACCCCAGCATCTTCCCGCTGTGCCCATCCTGCCACCAGCAGGCAGATGGGGCCCAGAGCCCAGAATCCGTGCCCCCGCCATGCCCCCGCTGCCCACTCAGGCCTGAGTTAGTTGTTGATCTCTTGGGGCAGAGGGACCAGAGGAAATAGAAGGGAGGAAATATGGAAGACCCAGGACTTACTCGTGGGCTTGGAAAGAAGCCACGAGGCTACACTGTGGGATCCCCAGGGCCCCGCTCCGGCTTCCGTGACCCACGGTGATCCAGACCCTCGGCCTCTCTTCTCCCTTCGTTATCCTCAGCTTCTTGGCGCCAGTTCACACCCTCCTTTCCTGGACTCTCCGAGGTTCGGGGCACCCCCTCACCACTCTGGGACCTCGTATCTCTGGGCTGACCCTTCCCGGCAGGGTGTGAAGGGGCCCAGCGGGCCCAGCTGTGCTGTCTCAGTGAAGCCCACTCTTCCTTTGACGCTGCCATGCCTCCCCCTCGCCTCCATCAGACTTTAAGACAATCAAACCAGTTCTGTCACTTGCAGCACTCGCCCTCCCCAGCCACCAAGTGCCGAGGTGTGCCAACGGGACTTTTTAGGGCCCGGAGCCCGAGCCCTTTAGTTTCATGCATAGGTGCGTGCACAGGATGTCAGGCAGAGCTACACCAAGCGTGGGTGGCTCCCGCCTCCATCTCAGGGTTTCAAAGCCTTGGTAAATTAGAATTTACCTCTGCTTGGTGGGTTCTCAGTCTACACTGATGGAAGGTCTGCACAACTCCAGGCAATTTAATTACGCTCCAAGAGCTGTCTCTCTTTTCCCTGCAGGTAGTTAGATCAGATAACAACTTAACACAAATATTTAACCCCTTTTGATGGAATCTATTAAAAAGAAAGTTCAATGGGCATCAATCAGCTACATGAAAAACTTTACACAAATAATTATAATTTCTATGTAGTAATTTTAAGTTTTACAACTTTTATTTAGTAAGTAAAGGAGAAAAATAAACCAAGTTGTTGAAACAAAGAAGGATAAGAATTACCCTAAGTTATTTTCAACATTTCTAGGCATTTCGGCCGACAGGCTTTTAAAAAATAAAATCCTATAGAAGTGTTATGAAAGTAAGCACGTTTCCATGCTTCGCACATCTTGACCATTCTTACAGTGTAACAACACTGTCACTGTCACACGAATGGAGGCCATTTATTTACTGTAAAACGAGTCTCTATTTTTCAGAGCACTTTCGCCATTGACAAGAAACATAGTTTTCCCCAGCAAATCAGGAGCACATTCTGGCAGGTTGCCTGCTTTTTGTCACATCCTTGGATTTCGAGCATGTCCCTAGGATAGGAAATCCTATTGTGATTGTGATGACCATGCACCATTTGATCAAATGATGCTCTATGACTTTGTTGACGACATCTCATGAATTTTGGTTCTTTCTTATTTTTCCATATTAAAAAAAATTTAGCATTAAGATTTCTTGAGCTCAAAACTTATTTCCTCCTGACCTGAAAGAGCAAGGACTGGAGCCAAGCGGAGGAGGAGTTTACGAGCTGCTGGGGGCACTTCTGTCTCCTCGAGGGGGGTGCTTCCCTTGTGGGTGGTGGGGGAGGTTGTAGGTTTTAGGTCTCCTGTCAGCCTTGGCTTGCTGCTGCTTCCCCTCCTGGCAGACAGCTAGGCCACCTGACCACAGCTGGGCCAAGATGGCAGACACAGGCCCAGCTGGGCTCCGTGAGGCCAGGACCAAGCTGGAGAGAGGGTCAGTGCGTCGTCGTTCCGTGCGTGGCCCACCCCGCTGCTGGTCTTCCGCTCTCGCTCCCTCTGGCGTTGGAGCGGCCTCCCGCTTCTCCCTTAGCTCCGTCCTCATCTCAGGCTGTGGTTCTCATAGCCTGGTTCCTTTTGGTTCCTGTTCTCAAACTCCTCCTCTGGTAGTTGCACAGACAACTGTGACGTGGTGATTTGTAATACGAAATAGATATTTGGTCTTCGACCCGTTTCTGGCACAGAGCCACTGAAACTCTTGGAATTTTCCATGTTGAGAGCCATAAAAGTGTCTTTTGTGGTGACAAAACGGGTGACAATTGGACGGCACCTAAGGCTGGAGGCTGGTTGCCTGGAGAACCAACCATGAATAGAGTGTTAGAGATCTCAGTCCCACCTGCCGATTCCTGGGGAGGCGAGAGACGCTGCAGCTTGAATCAATTGCCAATGGCCAATGATTTAATCAATCATCCGTATGTAAAGGAGCCTCCATAAAAACACAAAATGACGGGGTTTAGAGAAGTTCCCGGTTGGTGAACATGTGAGGTTTGGGGAGAGTGGTGCACCTGGAGAGGGCATGGAAGCTAGATGCCGTCTCCCCATATCTTGCCCCATGCATCTTTCCATCTGGCTCTTCCTGAGTTATGTCCTTTTATAATAAACCAGTAATCCAGTGAGCAACATGTTTCTCTGAGTTCTGCACAAGAATTAAACCCAAGGAGGGAGCCATGGGAACCTCCAGTCTACAACCAGCTGGTCAGAAGCACAGGTGACAACCTGGATTTGTGATTGGTATCTGAAGTGTGTGGATCGGGGTGGACTGCCTTGTAGGATTGAGTCTTTAATCCATGGGATCTCATGCCATCTTGGGTAGATAGTGTCAGAATTGTAGGAGACCCAGCTGGTGTCAGAGCATTGCTTGGTGGTGTGGAAAACCCCCACACATTAGAATTATTTGCAGTCAGAATCTTAACAACCCAGATTTGTTTCAGTACTGGAGTCCATGTTGGGCTTTGCCATTCCCTCCTCAGGAACCAGATCCTGACCTGACAGCTGGGTCCTGCTCTTGGCTGAAGTCCTGCCTGCCTGCCAGACCCAGAGGATTGCTCCTTCATAGTCTCTCCATCACTGTGATCAACTCCTATTTACTAAGCTCAATATTCTTGGGTCTTAGTCTTCAAATATTATCCTTTCTCTAAAAAAGGGGACTCTTCCAGTGCTGGCCACCTTATCTGTTCTCTAAGTACCTGTCCTACACCAGTGGTCAGAACCACCTCCTGGTCACCATCCCTTCTGATCCTGGCTCCGCCGTCCTCAGTTGGCACATGCCCCCACCTCTCGGTGCCTCTTCCACGTCTTTGCATGGAGAGAATGATGGCGTTTGCCTCACAGAGTGGTGAGGATGCAATAAGTTAACATGAGTAGAGTGCAGAACCCTGACGCAGAGCGTTTGATACGTCTTAACTTTATTATGTTAGAAGATTTCTCTCCAAGCACTGTTATCTCCAGTGGCCTCAGACCAGGGTCCAACTGCAGGGATGGACGAAGGTGGACAGGGGCCAGCTCTGGAGCTGCTGCTTCCAGGAAATCTCTAGGAAATCATGGATGGCATAGCAGCCCTCCTACGAGGCCAGGCTAAGCTGTGATGTTCGCTAGGTTGGGAGGGTTACATGCATTTTCAACTTATGATATTTTCAACTTACCATGGGTTTATCAGGATGTAACCCCATTGTAAGTCAAGGCAGATCTGTATGGCCATCCCCATAACCACGGCTCTGTGTTGAAGCCTGACAGGAAAGATGAGGTGGGAATGGTTTTCCTAAGTGTAAAGAGACACAGTTACGTGGTGTTTGTGGTTCCATGATAATCATTCCTGATTCGTTTTGTTCTGTTTACAGTCTTTTAATCCTTTCAGATGTGTGCCTAAATTTCTTGTGCTGAATTAGAAAAATAAAAAGTTGCCACGGGAATATTCTAAAAATGGGCAGGAATGATCCTTTAAGTGCATACTAAGCACAATTAGAAGTCACACAATGC